AGCTGGCGTGACACTCGCCGCGGGGGTGGAGGACTAATTAAGTCCGAGCGGCAGGCAACGTCCCATGATGCTGTCCTGACTGCAGTAGTTAGGTCTGCGTTCTCTGGTCGAAAGTTAGCCGAGAGCGGGCGGCTGCTGGGATGACCCTGTCACATAACCGTGTTTTCTGCAGTGCAGAAGGCACTTAGCAGAAACCCGTCTCCCTCCTGAGGTTGGCCCAAACCAGCTATAGGTAAGGGCTTGTAGTACACAACCATCCTGCTCTCTGCTGACGGATGGCACGGTGCCCCTGCCGCGCAGTGAAGAAGAAGATTTTGATGGCTCCAGCATTTGTGTCCTCCTTCTTACCACTATGGCCGGCAACGAGCTGAAAATTGAAGTGCCTATAAGTATCCACCACAATTTGGAAATGCTTGAGGACTATTTAGTGGAACACTTGCCTGCTATAAGCCAGCTGGATACCTTTGGGTGTGAGCTGACCCTGATAGACGCGGACACCCACCATGCTTTGAGTGACCCAATTCAGGATGAGCTATGGAATCACACGTGCTTTCACCTAGTGGTAAGAAACTGCTTTCAGACGTTCAACTACAAAGAGCAAATTCAGAGAAGTGTGTATGAAGCTCTCCCGAAAGCCATAAGCCCTGGGCCATACCGCGTCCAGTTCCCAACCATAACGAAACCATAACTGTCCTCCAACCAAGTATCAAAACCATAAAAACAGCCATAACAAAATCATAACAAATCCGCATCAGTTCCATATCGAATCCATAAAAAACCATAAGAATCGGCGGCTTTATTTATCTTTATTGAAATTTAAAATCTTATCAAAACCTCATGGAAATCTTATGAAAACATATGCCAAATCTTTTTGGTTTTTTATGGCCGCAGAAGTGGTCACTAGGCGGTCTGGGCTCCACTTGGTCTCCGTCCGTCCCCGTGTGTCCAGTGCCCAACCGTCTAGGGCTTGGGCTACCAGCTGCCTTTTAAGGTTTAGGTTTGAGAGTTGTTTAGCCAGTGACTGCTGTTGCCATGTGTTCTCTGCAGGGTTGCTCATATTTGGTCTGGGTCTTAGATTGTGTACTCCGTGTGTTGTTGTTCTGTCACCACTAGCTTCCCGATTTTACGCAAAAAATAGCTACAAACAAATCATATTTTTTAGCATATTCAGTTTCATAAGAAAACCATAACAAAATCATAAACATAGGCAATAAATAATCTGTTTGGCTGACTTCCAAACTCACAATGCTAAGCAGGAATCATGCCACAAGTGCAACAGGCATGGCTTGACTGCCCAGTTGTCAGCAAAGAGCTGTTCCTACAAAGCCGAGTCTGCTGTTTGGTGACGCAATTCATGGAAGCAAATCACAATGGCGACCTGCGCGTGGCTCCAAAGATCATATGTGGGTGCTAGTGAATGACAACGAGATCGTCAGGTGCAAGGCAACATCTTCATCTGGATGCTTTCTGGCGCATTTGAGGACGTCCAGATCTCTTGTCTCTCTTGTGTCCTCTTCTTTTCACTCCTTGAGGCTCGTGCTCCTTCAGTCTTGGACTAGTGCAGGAATGGCTGGTGTCTTGACCTTGGTTCTCCTCTCTTCATGTCCCAACGGCCGACCACTGCGCTCAACAGAAGTTCACTGTCCCCAATGCTCGCCTCTTCCTCACTCAAATTGAGGCCGAAGCATCAGCTATGGGTGAAACCACAGAGAGCTGGTGTCCCACAAATTGAAGCCGCGTCAAGTCCAAAAAAGGGCAACCGAAAATGTTGACGATAGAGCGACAGTGGAGAGACAGCAGAAGGGCAGATATGACCACTTTAAGATGGTGCACTATGACCCAGACACGGCCATTCCAGAACCAAGTGTTAAGGCAGCTAAAACTTCATTTTCCATAGCCGCTGGGAGAGAAAAGACCAAGAGAGGCAAACAAGGAGAGTTGAAAAAGTAGAGATTTATGTGGAGGACGATGCAGAAGTCGAAGCTGAAGAAGATGAAGATGCCTATGGTTGGAATCGAGTCATTTCCACAAAGATTGAGACAGTTCTCAGTGAAGAAGAAATGAAGAAGCGTGGATTCTACAATGAAGGAGGTGGTCCACCACAAGTGAGTGCAGAAGAGCTTCAAAAACTAGGTCAGCAAACCATGTTGTCAGAAGTTGATCGCTTGAATGACCTTACAGTCATCGCGAACATCGAAGCTCAAGACACTGTTGAGGAGGCCACGAAGCTAGATACCAGAGTGGTGTTTGATTGGTGATTCAGGTCAGGCTGTTGGGTTCGTCGAGCACGGCTGGTTGCACGAGAGCTCAGCAGCGGCGCAGCGTCCAGAATTGATACTTTCAGCCCAGCAATTCATCAAATTGCTGCTGTCAGTGAGCGTGACCATGGATTTGATGATTTCAGTCATAGACATGTCAGATGCGTTCCTCCAAGTTGCCCAGAAGGAGTTTGTGGTGATTGAAATGCCTGCATGGATCAGAGAGATCCTTGGTCGAGAGGATTTGATCTATTGGAAGTTGCTGAGATGCCTTTCAGGGCAAAGAAATGCCGCACTTACTTCAGTCAAAGCAGGTTTCCTTTTCCACCCATATCGAGGAGGAACGATCAAAAGGCATGAGAAAGGTCGACAGCTTCTGTAAGTGCACATTGACGATATCATTTTGGTGGCTGAAGAGAAGGACCACTGCAAGTTCATCGAGCACTTTTCCAAGATCTTCAAGTTCAAGGCCGACGGTCCCAGGGATTTTGTCCTACCTCAAGAGGAAACCTGCCACTTTGATGCAGGAGGACTGGAGAATGCCGAAAGCAGCAAATATGTGCCTAAGTTGGTCAGTATATGCTCAAGACAGGCGGGGACGTGGTTTGATGCAACGAGTGATGAAGAGCGTTTGAGTCCAGGAGAGAGAAGTGCACTTGCACGATGTTTGTACTTGAGTCAAGAGCGCATCGACATCCAACACAGTGTGAGGATTCTTTTGACCTATATGGCAAGTCCCACAAAAACAGCAGTGGCTGCAATCAAGAAGTTATATCGTACTTGGATCCCGACAAACGAGAACCCTGCAGACCTCAACACGAAGGCTTTAACAAGAGAAAGGAGAGAGCAGCGAGCATATGGCAAGACTCACTGGATTGCACAGCGAGAGCTTCCATCCAATCAGCATTCCTGGAGTCCACCGAATTGTGCAGATGCTCATGGTTGCAGGTCTGCTGCACCGTTGTTCAGGGCATGTGGTGCATATGGAAAATCCGAGCTTCACTGGCCAGATATCGGGTGAGGAAGAAAAACAATGAAGACGATGGTTTCCATGATAGCGGAGGTCCCAATGGTGGTCATGTCATGGACGATGATGGCTACGTCTATGGAACCCTTTGCAGTGGACGCAACTCAGCTCCAAGAAGGAGGACTACGCAGAAGTCAAATGGAGATGTAGCAGCTGGTCGAGGAACAAGTTCAGGAGGAGATGTAGAAGCTGAGGATAGAACGGCAAGAGTGCTTCAGTCAGAGGAGGCACGCACCGTGGAGGCACCAGAAGAAAAGAAAGAATATGATGACGGTGAGAAGGTAGAGAGTCAGCAGAAGCCAGGAGCAGCGAAAGTCAACAAGAGCCAAGGTCGTTTTCAAGAACAGTGGAGCCGAGCTCATCTTCAAGAGGGCCAGAAGAAGAACCAACAAGAGACAATGATGCCAATGTTTACAGGCGAAGTCTTTCAGACAGAGTGGCAGCACTTCTTGTAAGCTTTGGCGTGAACCCGGCAATCTATGCAGAGAACTATGGCGATGGAGAAAACGACGCAACCTGGTTTGCGCTTGGCTCTACGCGGGCTAGGGTTGTTTGAGTTTACCAGGATTCCCAGTGGATCCACAAGAATTTCAAGAGATGAGAACAAGGCTCATCAGTGAAGGGCACGGACCTGAGGTTTCTTCGACCTTAGCGCGCCGGAACTTGAACGAGCGTATCAGGAGCCTTGAATACCAGAGAGACCCAGATTTGAGAAGGGACATTCGAGCTGCAAGGAACGCACTACTCTACTTGCAGTACTTGCTTTTGCTGTGTGGCAGGCAGGATCCTTTGACCATAACCTTCAACAAATGGACTGAAGGTGGTTCGAGACTAGACTTTTCCACGAGTCCGGGAGCAAGCAACGGGACAGACAATGAGGAGGAAGAAGAAGAAGAAGCGATGGAAGAAACAGAAGAGGACAGGGATGGTGCACATGGACCGATCGAAGAAAGTGAAGATCCTGATCCAATGGAGGTGAGATGCAGAGGAAGTGTAGGCAGTGGAGGAAGATGACGAGCCCGATGTCATCGACAACGGTGAGAACAAGGAGAACGAAGGAGGTTGACTTCAGAATGTTGAACAAAGCTGGCAGGACGAATGCAATCAGTGGGCGTGACAAGCACTATCACTGAGATCCTGAGAATGAACAGGCAGTAAAGAGCTACTGCTTTTCAAGGCGGGGTGACAGAATTTAGCATGTCTCTTCCATGCGGATGGCACGCATGTCTGAGCATGTGTAGATCTGTTCTTATGAGTGGGCAATCGACGTCTACAGTGGCTCAAGATTAGCCTACGGAAAAGGCGCGTTTTTGTGAGAGGAACTCAAAGCCTGTGGCTGGTGGCGTTTGAGCGTGCCCTCATGCGTGGTAATGCTTGCCTATTGTCCATGAAATCCTCCACAGTATGTTCATGTAGGTGACCGTTTGTGTGACCAATTTTTTGTTCTTTCAACTATCCCAACCGAAACTGTTGAGGGCCATCAATACCACAATGGCACACCGGTGGGTGAATGGAATCACTATATATATATATGCACACAAAGCATAGAGATGTCAACATATGAAAAAATATCAAAAGCACGTTGCTAGCTTGATCAAAACATTGGCAGTGCCATGTTTAACACAACGGCATGACGGATGTTGCAGTCACGGAATGCCGCGGGTTTGAGAGCACGTGGGCCAACACCTTTGACGTGACTGTTGCCGCTTTTTAACCAAGATAGAATTCACATTAGTGGGCGCGGGCTTCGTAGAGATCCAGTCCCGCAGGGTTAGTCAGCACCTGCGTTGTTCCACCCAGGCTCAACAGCTCAACGTTGGTTTTTTTGTTTTGTTTACTTTGCAGTTTTGCAGCCTGAAGGTGGAACACGTATCGGTGGCCATGGCAACATCCTTAGAGAAAGGACTTTTGAGATTGAAATGAATTTGGTGTAACCAACAGCTTAGGACCGAAGTGTGTTAGCCACACGTCTCCATGGAAGAGGGTTTCAGGCTGACAGTTTGGAGTTCAACATTGGAGTGCCATGTCTACCTTCATCGCGGCGCAGGTGGTTGAACCTTTTAAGTGTGCTGGTCATGCATCCATTTTCCGTGTACGTGCTGATCTCAAAGTTTTGCGCGTCCGACAGTGGCTGCACGCTTGTTTTGGCATTGCCTTCAAGTGCTGCAGAATGTGACGAATTCAGTGGGCAATCAGAAGACACTAAGGCGAAAATGAAGAGGTTGACACTGAGCCCTGTGTTGCCAAGGCATGACAAAGGTAACTTGCAACTGCCTTTGAAAAGTATTATGCAGAAAAACAATTTGTGAAATTTTTGACAACTTGACGAGGTAATGTCCAATCTGCGTTTGGAATGATGTTTTCGCAGGTTGTATGTCTGAGCGGTTTGGATGCACAGGGGCAAGCAGGAGCACAACAGGAGGCGGATTGAATGGGTCAAGACAGTTCGAACAATTGCTTGATAAAGTCTTTTTGCAGGTCAGCCTTCTGAAGGGTTTGTCGGCCTAAACCTCAGAATGCGATTGCAGATTAGGATGTGAAGCAAACCCAGCTGATTTTGCTAGGCCCATCCCAACCTCATTGCTTACAAGCAAAGCTTTCTGGAAGATGGTGGTGTTTTGTTCATCATCATGACCTTGGCAGAGGCCCTCAACCCTTTGCCTGAAGAACTTCTTTGCATTTCCAAAACCTTTGAGCTGGTCTGGCACGTTTTGCAGGATTGCTTAAGTTCTTTATCGGGTGGCAGGATGGAGACCTGTGCCGTGTGGTAAGCGAAGCACAACTGGCTCACCGTGCTTTGCCCGAGGCTGCGGTGCGCCCACGAAACTTGAAGTTGAGAATAGGAGAACTAGATCCATACATATGCCACATACTGCACGATATTTATCCTGATTGGCATTTGTGGTATATATGTTCAAAAGAGATGCGTTTCTTGCAAGTTCTTCCAGGTATTGACCTGGTTGCGTCAGACCCTTCTTGGCCGGACAACCAGGGCGGGGTGTTCTGATCACAGAGGCTTAGGGGGGACCTGCTGACCAGTGCTCAAACATAATTGTTGCAAGGGGAGTGGATTGCTGACATTGCAGAACGCATGATAGCTGAAGGGTCGATCTGCAGAGCAGAATGCAACAAGACTACTTGGCTGGCTAACCTTACGGCAAACATTGCAGCAATGAGCAGGACAGCCTTTTTCTTGACTGTGAAACTTGCTATGGCCGCTATGGCAGTTTCAAGACTTGTGAGCTAGTTACTAGCTGCGATAACAAACCGCACCTAGCAGCATCCTGACTGCTGAGGTCTGGAGCATTTGCACAATCAGGGAGTTGTGTTTGCCTGAGCAAAAGAGAAGTGTAGAGAACAAATCCCACTGATCGAAGTGTACAGTCCCAGAATCAGAAGTGATTTGGCCTGGAGAAGTGAGGTTCACAGAGATCTAAAGAGTGCGTGCCTAAAAATGTGAATGAATGTCTCCATTGTTTGAAACTGCCGCTCATTGGGGTTGAAGTTGAGGTTCAAACATTTTCCTTTGCGAGGGGCGGCGACGGATTCGGATTGGTGATTTTGGTGACTTGTCATGGATATTTGCTGTGACTTGATAGTCTTTTGACGTGACACTGCATCAGGCATATCTACTGTTCTTCAAAGTACTGCGTTTGCTTCTTCCTGCGTCCACTACCTCAGCACTATTGATGGAGAGACACTGCAGACAATCATCCCATGCTCATAAGCTTTCTCAATGAGGTTGGCACACCAGCCTACATGTCACCAGAGCTCATGAGGACACTGTGAGCTCATTAAGTTGACGAGCCTGAACATGCAGAGATTTCGGTTGCTCCTGGAGGAATGAGCGCTACGACTTTCACGTGGACATGTGGGCTCTTGGATGTATTTGCTTTGAGACTCCGCCTCAAAAGCTCGCTGCTTGTGCTTAGTGTTTCTTGAGAGATGCTTCCCACTATTGACCTCACACTTTTCTAATTAGCAACACCACAACCGATGACGATTGAGTCTTTGTTAGGAAACCGTATAGTAATGCTAAGTAATGTCTATATATTATATAGAGGCTAAATGTGTGCATATAGCTTCTTTCGCTCGCAAGATTTGATACTTTGAGGCTGTGTAGCCTTGACCTGCCCTTCGCTGCGGCGTCATTGCTGCAGCTGGCAGCATCCTTGGAATCACTTTCAGGGTGAAAGGGCATGCTTTTGAGCTGCTTATGTAAGATGTTAGCCTGTTCAGTTGCAACCGAAGGCACAAAAGATGTGAAAACTCAGTGACTCATTGAACATGTGTGTTCGACTCGGCTTGATAATCCCCTAGATTCTGTGCATGAACGCTGTAAGGCTATGCAAGTGATGGATTCCGAGCCTGTTGTGGGCTCAACTTCAAAGTTATTTCACACTTTTGAGCTCTAGGAACTTTCAGTATGTTAAGGGCAGCCGTGTAGTTATACAAGGCTTGGCATAAATTGGAGGGCAGGAGTGAAGAGCTGATCAGCGTCCGGTCCTTGGTGTTCCTTTCTGGTAATCCTTGACCGATTACGCATCTCTTTTAGGTCTCTTGCTCTCTCACAATTAGGCGAACCGATGGCTCCTTCAAAAGGAGGTCATGAATCGGCCTTCGCCTTTGAGTATTCGATCATTAGCAGAACAAAGCGATTCCATAAGAGAAAGAGAAAAGAACTCTTGCATGAGCTGTTGTACATCCAAGTATCAGGCCTACAGCTCGTAGTCTGCTGCAAGAGCCTTTGTTTGTAGAGGGTGGCCGTGCTAGCATTGGCCCCAGTGAGGAGGACTGGATCAGCGGCAGGTTGCTAGCATCTCACACACAATTGCTCAGATTGACCTGGAATGCTTCCCAGGAGTGGCTCAGCTTGGCAGCACCGGACCATGATGGTAGTTGGAGCCAAGAATATTTGCGTGTTGGAAAGTGTGTAGCATTTTTAGCTCTTGTTCACCAAGCAGTTTAATTGTGCTTCCAGGTTGTGACAAAAGAAGAGCGCAAACAACTGTGAGCAGAGGGCCAAGCACATTCTTGGAGTTTGAGAAACCCTGTACTGCGAGACCGTTGTACACCTCTCCAAAGGGATAGCATCTTGCTCGTGTGACCAGAGCTTGCCCTGGTCTCTTTCTCTTGTTGCTAATCTTAGAGATGAAGTTTAGAACGGCAGCGGCAGCGGCAGCAAACAGGACCATAAATTCGTCAATACATGGGACTCGTTGAAGACGGTCATTAGCTGATTCAGAAACCAACCGATCAGGCAACTACGATTCAGAAACCAAAATGGCCGATTCAGCAACTACGATTCAGAAACCAAACTCAGAAACCAAATGGTCCGATTCAGGAACCAAATGAGCCGATTCAGAAACCAAACGGGCCGATTCAGAAACCAAGCAAGTCCCGATTCAGAAACAAAAACAGCCGATTCAGAAACCAAAACAGCCGATTCAGAAACCAAGTCGGCCGATTCAGACACCAAACCAGGCGATTCAGCAACTACGATTCAGAAACCAAAAGAGCCGACTCAGCAACCAAAAGAGCCAATTCAGAAACCAAAACAGCCGATGCAGAAACCAAAACGGCCGATTCAGAAACCAAAACAGTCGATTCAGAAACCAAGTTAGACTGTTCAGAAACTAAGCCAAGATAATAGCGTTCCATGTGGATGCAAAGGGCATTTACATTCAGTCAAGTAAGAAGTTGTGGTGGACGGCAGGAGGAGTGTGGGGTGGGGGGGGGAACCATGGCCAAGATAATAACGTTCCATGTGGATGCAAAGGGAGTTTACATTCATTCATATATGAGTTAACTTGTATCAACAGCATGCGGCTGAACAGAGTGGAGGGTAGGAGCAGTGTGGGGTGGTGGGGGTGTGGGGTGTGTGGGGGGTTCATGGCCCAGATAATAACGTTCCATGTGGATGCCAAGGGCTTTTACATTCATTCAATTAAGAAATAGTGGCGGACAGCAGGAAGAGTGTGGGGTGCGGGGGTGGGGGGAAATCATGGCCAAGATAATAGCGTTTCTCTCGTTGCTTCGCGGAGAGATTTTGCATCGGTGGCACTACCACCATCTACTACTACTACTACTACTATTACTACTACTACTACCACTACTACGACGACGACTACTACTACCACCACTACTGCTACTACCACCACCACCACCACCACCACTACTACTACTACTACTAGTACTACTACTAGTACTACTACTAGTACTACTACTACTACTACTACTATTACTACTACCACCCGGGTCAGCAGTTTCTTCTTTTGGAAATGTTTTTTGGTTTCCTGGTTTTGGTTACCGAATCAGCGGGTTTAGTTACCGAATCAGCGGTTTTGGTTATCGAATCAGCAGTTTTGGTTACCAAATCATACCGAATCAGCGGTTTTGGTTACCGAATCAGCGGTTTTGGTTTCCGAATCAGCGGCTTTGGTTACCGAATCAGACGTTGTGGTCACCGAATCAGCGCTTGTGGTTACCCGAATCATAGTTCCCGAATCAGACCGTTTGGTTACCGAATCAGACGTCGACCGTTGAAGACACATAAGAATGACCTACGACAACTACAAGTAGTTCCCGGGCAAGCCGGCGGCGGAAGTTTCCAAAAGAATAAACCTATATAGGAAATGGGCATGTGGCAGGCTGATTCGCCGAGCTGCGATGTTCTTTGACAAAACAAGTTGGACCCGACCAATGGAGCGAAAGCGAAGCAACCACCGCCAACTGTCTCGCAGGAAAAAACGTTGTTCATGCACTTTGCAAAAAAACAGAATAGAGATGACTCAGCCGCGTGGTATAAAGTTGCACTACAAAGTCGCCAGTTCTTAGCTTCCAGCTCCACGGCTTGCTCCGCGTACTAAAGTTGTACTACAAAGTCGCCAGTTCTCATCTTCCAGCTCCCCAGCTACTCCGCGTACTAAAGTTGTACTACAAAGTCGCCAGTTCTCATCTTCCAGCTCCCCAGATACTCCGCGTACTAGAGTTGTACTACCAAGTCGCCAGTTCTCATCTTCCAGCTCCCCACATACTCCGCGTACTAAAGTTGTCCTACCAAGTCGCCAGTTCTCAGCTTCCAGCTCCACAGATTGCTCCGCGCACTAAAGTTGTACTACCAAGTCGCCAGTTCTCATCTTCCAGCTCCCCAGATACTCCGCGCGCTAAAGTTGTACTACCAAGTCGCCAGTTCTCATCTTCCAGCTTCCCAGATACTCCGCGTGCTAAAGTTGTACTACCAAGTCGCCAGTTCTCAGCTTCCAGCTCCACAGATTGCTCCGCGCACTAAAGTTGTACTACAAAGTCGCCAGTTCTCCTCTTCCAGCTCCCCAGATACTCCGCGTGCTAAAGTTGTACTACCAAGTCTCTCATCCTCCAGCTCCCCACCTACTCCGCGCACTAAAGTTGTACTACCAAGTCGCCCATCTTCCAGCTCCCCAGATACTCCGCGCACTAAAGTTGTACTACAAAGTCGCCAGTTTTCATCTTCCAGCTCCCCACATACTCCGCGTACTAAAGTTGTACTACAAAGTCGCCAGTTCTCAGCTTCAAGCTCCACAGATGCTGTGCCTGCCACGAAATCTGCGCATGGAGGTTCACAAAGCGCTGTGCCTGCCACGAAATCTGCGCGTGGAGGTTCACAAAGTGCTGTGCTTGCCACAAAGTCTGCGCATGGAGGTTCACAAGGCGCTGCACCTGCCACGAAATCTGCGCATGGAGGTTCACAAAGTGCTGTGCCTGCCACGAAATCTGCGCCTCAAGGTTCACACAGTGCTGTGCCTGCCACGAAATCTGCGCCTCCAGCTTCACAAAGTGCTGTGCCTGCCACGAAACCCGCGCACGGAGGTTCACAAAGCGCCGCGCCCGCCACGAACTCTGCGCGTGGAGGTTCACAAAGCGCTGCGCCTGCCAGGTAATTTGAACATGGAGGTTCACAAAGTGCTGTGCTTGCCACGAAATCTGCACCTCAAGCTTCACAAAGTGCTGCGCGCGCCACGAATTCTGCGCATGGAGGTTCACAAAGCGCCGTGCTTTCCACGAATTCTGCGCATGGAGGTTCACAAAGTGCTGTGCCTGCCACGCAATCTGCGCATGGAGGTTCACAAAGTGCTGCGCCTGCCACGACATCTGCACGGTGAAATCTCTAATCGCAATGGAGGGACGATTCCGAGAATGATCCGACCATGATCCGAGCATGACCCGAGACCGTCTTGCAACCGTCGTTCCGCGGAGCTTCCCCGTCGAGGTTCGGAGAAGCATGGAGGTTCACAAAGTGCTGCGCCTGCCACGAAATCTGCACATGGAGGTTCACAAAGTAATGCGCCTGCCACGAA